AAACTTAAATTACATAAAAAAGGGTGCTAGTCCATGAATTGGCGCTTGGGGCCTAATATCCCAGAGTCCAGAAAATGACGAAACAGCCCCTGCACCACGACCTCAACGGAAACAGGAAAGCGAATCACGCAGAACACGTAACGTTCTAGAAGAAGGTGTCTTGAGTGGCCTTGAAGAAGATATGTTTTATAGGAAACCAACTAACGGAGAAAAACTACAGAGTTCTTTGCTGATCGTCAACACCATACTGAATCGCTGAGAAAGAAAGATATAATACGAGTGAAATTATACAATCAATAAACTATTAAATTAGCCAACAGAAAATGATTGAAAAGGGTTTGGCCAAGGATTGGGCATTCTATTATCAATGAAGAGAAATTCAAATTACGGATAAGTGATAAATAGTAAAAAAAGGTTACGTGATTTTGGCACATGACAAACAATGAATCTTGTGCGAGCAATATTTCCGGGACGTTTATTTCTCGATTTGGTGATGGTGTCACCGGATTTAAGGGCTCCTGACTTTTTTATGGAGATGTTTGAAAAATAAGATTTATGCTAACAAACCAAATACTGTAGAGCAGCTGAAGAACAATATTACGGAAGCGATTGAAAATATTTCTCCCGAATCGTACCAAAAAGTGAAGGAGAATGTAATCAAGAGAGCTCAGGTTTGCGCGGCTTCTAGAGGCGGACATTTGTCTGCTATTATTTTTCATACATAAGTTTCAATAAAAGATCAAGATGGAAAAAAGCGACGTATTTTATTTCATTTCACAAATATTTAAGATACAAACTAGTCAGTTACGTATTGGCCACCCTGTACAACTATGCAACTTGAAGTGATGACATAAAATAGCTATTGACCCATTTTGACTAATACACAAAAACCCAAGTATATTAGATAAATAAATAAATAAATAAACGAATAGAAAAATCAACATTTCGGAAACTCAATTCAGTAACCAGTTTACACTTACATCTACTGCTCGTTTTTAGTTGGATTCCAATATATCCCCACCTATACCTATCATCCATCAAACAGAGTAGGTAAGGTGGAGCCGAATAGACGCAATGACGTGTCACTAAAGCAATCCGCGCTATCTGGCGACCGAACGAAACCATCCGTGAAGCCCGAAGCCGTCCAGACCTGTCATTACGACGGGAAAACGACTTTTTAAATTCGGCCATTGTCGACGAGCAAGGACCCAGAGCAGATATAGAGGTATATATATTTGATGGGAGATCGGGACGAAAAGACGGAGGAAGTCTATAACGTTTATTAGTATTGCTCCGTTAAGCCGGAAGAATGGCTTTGACTCCAACAGATTTTTCATCTTTCGTTTACAACCGTCTTGGATTTTATAAGGTGACGTCGACCTGTAGACAGCGTATAGATATGAGCATTTCCTCAAAACATTTTCCAAAATTTCAGATGGTGATGAAATGTCAAAGGAACGTCGAGTAGCTGCTATAAGTCGTTGACCTTACACGCAATATGCTGCAGTGGATAACAGAGCAACAGGTTTAATACAACAACAACATGCATAACAATAGGTGTCTACTAAACCCTTTGTTTGCTGATCATTCTGACTACAAATATACTACCACTTAGGGTCGATTTGCTCGTATTTACAAAATTATACCGTTTGGTATTTTTCAAGTCATATCTTCAAAGGTAGTATGGCTAAGCTGAATTATAGCGCTAATAAGATTTTTTCAATTCCATGTGAAATGAAAATGCTACGGTACTAACTAGCACGGTACTTGTAGATACGCCGTGCTAATTGCATGTCTGTCTGATGACATCACAAAACATAACACCCCGCACTTGCCGATCAGCGTGATTCATGTTATTTACAAGAGCATCAATGGACCGTTGGAGTTACGCAATTACGTATACTCCTATATATCAATTTGAAATTTTTACTAACGATGGAGCATACGGCTATTAAGTTACAAAATGCCAAATGTCATTGTACTATTTATGCATATAGAAGTTTGATATTCAAGAATCTAGAGTATTGAATAAATTTCTCAATTATCGCAGTAGATTGTACCGAAGGGTGAAAATACTACCTAGCAAACTACCGGTAGTTTTTTCTTCGTTTATATTAGAAGGAAGTGGTATAACCATGAGTAGGGCTAACAAGGTCCATTTTTCCAGGAAATCAAAATTGCGATACTCATAGAGCTGGTGTTGGTAAAGATTGATAATAATACTAAATACGAACGTGACAAATGCACATTCGTGTACACAAATCATGATTGGTTTGACAAAAATTCCTACGTGTTTGGAAGCAGTATCTTCAGAATGACATGAAAGCTCCTTTCCTTTGCAATTTGACCAACCAAATCTACTTAAATTTGCTAGTATAATTTCCACTATGTTGTTATGCAAGTGTTACCTCCATTCTCCTACTTCTCCTGCTATTGACAATGTGGGATCCCCCTTCAGCAGCATTTTTGTACTGAGGCTGAGATGAACGAGACTCACCAGCTTTCCTTGTTGTCACAGGCGCCGCGTGTTTTATCACAGCTGCTTGTTGCTTAATAGTGAAATGAAGTTGTTTAATCACTTCTCTGTATTTACGACAAACCACACTGTGTGCACCATGGCCCTTTCACCGCACACGTAGCACAACATGTTCCATCTACGCCATACAATTTTGATCCGATACTCTTCTAGTAGCGTACATCCAACCCCCCAAAAAATAACCACCAAGGCAGAGCAAGGACCTTTTCCACTTTCCGGTTCTCTAAAGTCGATACGTTTGTACTCCTGCAATATGCACTTGTGCAGAGCCTTTTTCAACGCTTAACGGACCTCGTTTTCATCTATGGTTATTTCAAAGTCGCAGATCAGTATTACTATGGTTTTTCCTGGTACCTTGATCACATCTTCGGCGTTGAAAATACCTTTAACCTGTCCCCACAGGCTATTGGCAGCGCCTTCCTCTGTTTCGGCTACTTTTAGCTCAATTTCACCCTTTTTTTGTGCCTGATATTTAGCACCAGCACACCTATTTCCTGTGAATTTATTTTTTGTTGTTCTTGTTCTATCCAACTCTTTGGCTCTGCCATTTTCCAAACGCGATTTCAGGAAGCCTTGTCACTGCTTGTCAGCCCCTATATATTTCATTATGTTTGAATATACCCCTTCCAATGTATTCTTCGTAGCAGTTTCAGATTATTGAGCCCTACAGGTTTGATTAAAAGTTCATCGACCTTCTGCTTGTGCGTTATTGTGATAGCTCGCTCTATCATATTATAGAGTTTTTGCTCATCATCCTTGGCGACTTTGATAGCTATAGCTTTTCGCTCACCACGTTGTTGTCGGCACAGTCTGCTTCTAAGACAATTTGTAACATGCTGGCAAGTAATTTTGTTTGGCATGTTAATATTGGAAGAGATATGAATTTTCTGGTTTATCCAGATTTGATTTTTGAAAACGTTCATGTACAACTTGAACGTTCTTCACCCACAAAAAGTCCATTTAAGTATGATTATTGATAAACATATATTGATATTAAAATGAGCTTTGACAAATTACAAAATTTTAAGATCCTCAAATCCCACAAGTTTGGAAGATTTTCAAACTTTTAACAACAAAATTGGTTATTAGACAATTAAAATATATTTTATGATGATATACGACAAGCCGTATCTCATATTTGAAAGTTAGGGTCTGCTACTCTTATCCACTCTGGGGTATGGGGATTCAGGATGCATTTTTATACGATGAGGTATTTTCTCAAATAGGCCTGTTTTGGGATCATCCATAAACATGAGTTTTGATAACGAATTTATTTCGTTTGATTAGCTCACTATATTCCATTATGTGAGTCGGTACGAAACCTTTCCACGAGTTTATCATTGTATATAGTGGTAGTAGTAGTAGTAATATTGGTATACATATAAGCGAAGAAAATAAATTTCAACTGTAGAGCTTGATCGTCAAGTACGAATATGGTGGCGCACCATCCAGATAGTGCGCGATGAGTATTTCACGCAGAAAGTATTCCTAGAACTTTGAGATATCAGAATAATACTCACGGATTGTTCGAAGACAGCAGTTACCCGCAACTAAATCTGGCAATACCTTCGATTATAGGAAGTTTCCTATTACGTTCATGGTCGGCATGTCGGACAAGACTGTAAAAGAACGTCGGTGGCCGGCTTTACATCCAGCCTATCCAGAGCCAACGTTGCGAGCGCTGCGTGTCCGCCTGAACAAACTTTGATTCGGGCTATCAATTAGACCGGTGGTGGTGGGGATGTACATGCCCTGCTAGATCGACTAACCCCCTGTCTAATTCCGTTCTGAGTGATTTACGCCAGAGCACTGCCCGAATTGAGTCTTGAATGTTAACCAGCTTTGTCGAGCCAGAAGAGTAAAATTGAGCACGGATCCAACCCCGAATTAGTTCCAATCGCTTTAGCGACAGAACGGGGAAAGTGAAACTGCTGAGGAAGGGAGATGACGCTGTGTGTCAGGATCAAATGTACGATACAGTTTTATGTAAGACATATTTGCAAGTAATTTCAAGTTCATAGAAATACAATTTTTGCCTTCAAACGTTATGTCAATGTCCAAATCTAGACGAGCATTTACTAAACGAATGCTTAGCCAACAAGGTATACAATAGGGTTAGACACGATGACTTGTTTTTAAGCAGCCTATGTTGAACAAAAGATCATAATTTTTTATTGCCAATATGCTCAAAAAGTGACCTAACATTGAGGGCACGTTTTAGGTTAATATTAGGTAAGCTATGACATCGGGATTTTTGCGTAGGGTCAACAAGTCTTTTCAGAAGTGCATTTTGTATAGTTTTGAACCAACCAACTCTCGGTTAAAGGTCTATTAGGGTCCTTACTTGGTACGTAGTGACTAATTTTTGACAGCAGATTCAACTCTGAAGGCTACTTCTGGAGACATTATACAAAGATGTAACTACTGCAATTTGAAAAAAATATATAAAAATATATGAGAAAAATGCGGAGCCAACAAACAACAATTTATTACATACGCTTAACAAAACTGCCGTTAAGTATGATGGTGCTAATCCCAATACAATCTACGGTAATATTCATCAAACTGCTGTGCCGGTGAAATCTATGCCACAATAGACGCAATGGCTCGCTGCTAATATAATCAACGCCATCTGGCTGGAAGCGTGAAACCAACCATGAAGCGCGAATGCCCTCCGGACTTGTGATTAGGGCGGAAAGTTGACTTTTCATATCCTGTTCTTTGCCCTATCACAATATTTTCCTACTGTATATCATCTAAATCTCGCCTTCTGTAAGAATATTACAAATGAAAGACGTTAATTATTATAATTATTATATTTGTATAAAATGTTCAATTCAATGCTCTTATCTCATTCAAAAATGGATCAACGACTTAGTACCACTGACGTCACTTCTGTTTTTGAGAGGGTGTTTGAGTTGTGTTAGACGTCAGCCGATTGAGACGCAAAAAGCGAAATTGTACATTGAGGAACAGAAATAAATATCGAAGAAGAATTTGAAAAACTCCTGTGTATCTGCAATTTTGTCTGGCTAAACTTTTGGATGCCTATTGTCTCCAAAATCTATCGGTCTACGTGTTGATACTTTTGTGGCTGCATATTTATATTAATAGTGGCTACAGCTATTTTAGTAGTGTGGGTAGTAGTGATGTATTGTGCTAAATACGGATAATGTCGACAAAATACCGCTAATTAAGTGGATAGGACGCGTAGATCACAACTTTGATGTCAGTTTTCGGGAGGAAAAGATCCAATTTCAACTAAAAAAACAGAAAAGGCTATGCTACTACAATTTGATCTCTCGCATCCAAAAAAGTATAATCAATGTAACTTATTTTTTATTTCACATTCCAGTCCAACGTCATCTAACTTGCTTCTAGGTATGCGGAAAAATTTCCTCTGCTTATAATTTTGTAGTCGACAAGAACATTCTTTTTCAGCCTAATTATATATGTAATTGTCAATCATTAAATGTCCTCTGCAGATATATTCAATAGAAAAGCTTCTAAATGGATAAAGACCTGTGACGAGGACTGAATTTTCTTGAGAAATATACGTATATCATTTACGTAAAGGTATATCTTTTGTTTCGCATGAATGCTTGAGGGGGGAGATGAGGGCAACAGCTTGTCTGTCAACAGATACTGCACAGCTATGGGCACTATTGAATCCTATCACGTATAGTTTGGATTACAGGTAAGCTGTTGGATGCATATTGTCTCCGAAATCTACCAGTCCTCTGGTAGATACTTTGGAGGCTGTGTGATAGTAATAGTAATGGCTACAGCTGTTTTAGTTGCCGGTAGTAACATATCGTAGAGTTATAGTTGATAATGCTGCCTCATTTCCAAGAAATACAGCGACTACTAAACAGTTTTTTTGGGCCTGCGCTGTCTGGAGACGTAGGGGAGAGATAACTTTTGGTGCATGTGTACCTACCCGTGAACTTTTTGAAAGAGCGGGACACGTTTCTCATAAGTAAAAAAACTAAATTTTACACAGAATCATAGTAAATATGGAAAAATTCCCAAATCCAGCTGAAAAAGATATCTTATTTCTTTCTAGGTGTTCGGAGGAGTTCTCTACTGCTACTAATTTTGCAATCGGCGAAATATATTATTTTCTTGGAAGAGGCTTACCATTTAATCAAATCTGTCAATTATTAAGCATTCTTTGTATACAGTTTGATAACTGCCCACCACGGATTTGTAAACAACCAGTGAATAAAAGAAAAAACGCCGAGACACGTCAAAACATCTGTCAAGGGGTACAACTTTTTAACTTTTTCGAGAAAATTAGAAAAATTTCTTAATTTGTTTAGATAGAAAACAAAAACAGACGAAAATATCACTTTTTATTTCAACAAGTGTTCAATATGTTGCCTGTTAGGGTTTGCCAAATCTACAATTCGTTTATAATTTAAAACGGAAACTACGAACATAAATAGCAATTCGGAAGGTTAGACGTGGTAACATCCAAATAACAACCCGACTTTTTTTCCGCATTATTACATTATTACAGATATCCTGGGAGAACTGTATTTATATCACGTATCTTGAAAAATGACATAACGCCGATTTTTTTTGATATTATGCTGTTTTTTTTACATAATGTAGGTTTTTCTACAAGATGTTAGCTTAGCACTTATTTGTACGTGTTGCCTAAACATCATGAGGCTTGATATCAATCTTTGGTTCTGATGTGATGTAAAATCTGCTTCTGAGATGGCATTACTGGAGGTCTAAGCTGTAAGTTGTATGTGTTGATAATAACTACATTGGATTCTTGTCTCAAATACACTTAATCGAGATTCAAAGCTAGAAATTACCTAGACAAATTTGCTGAATTTCAAAAATGAGAGACATAAGAAATAATTATATTCACTGTACACTGTCGAAATACAGGCCATATACATGCTAATAGTAATTACACGCAACGCGTGTTACCCTCGTGCCAGGGGGGTGGTTGTAGATGCACTTCCCTGCACGATGAATGTTACTTCTGGGGTTCGAAGTGGTTGTTGATTTGGAGGATTAGGGCGCTGGGGGAAATAAAAAGATTGCCAATTTCCAGAGCTTGCCCAAAATCTATTTAACTATTTTTAATAAATCACCTGAAGGGTGCTATTACAAAATTTGCAACAAACTACCTGAAGGGTGCTATGACAAGGTTTGCAACAAACTACCTGAAGGGTGCTGCGACATTTTCAAGTATTCAAAATGATCACAGTAAGCTCAAAATTTCACTTTGCAATGGTTAATCGATCACCTAACAACAAATGAAAACGAACATTAGTGACTTACCAAGTTTCCGGGGGTATGCATACCTCAGGATCACACCAGCTGTGAAGTTAGGATAAATAATTCATATTAAGTGAAATTAGCTGCTTAAGTATATAGATGCAGTTCGACGGGGTTTCAGCACATGGCGTCTGTGGACATTGGCAACAGCTGAATCAGCTCCCTTCCTCAGGGGCTGCTTGGAACTCTCATTACAGGACGGGGCGTGGAAAAGTCGTCAGGGCTTCATCTGAAGGTATCAGCAGTAGTTTGGTGGAGAAAACGTAGGGTGAAGAAGACGAAAAGTTGGAAGAAGATGAAAAAGTTGGAAGAAGATGAAAAAGGCCTGAAACAAAAATCCAATATGGCGCCGGGTTCCATTTTAACGCAAGCCGAATTGCTTACCTCTGTTGGAGTGTGGCGTAAAAGTGTCGGCTAGAACGCCGTAAAAGCGTTGAAGACTCTCGTCTCCCACATCCCCGTAGGATTATATGAGACATAAAAAGGAAGAACGCTTAGACTTCATTTGGCGTAAAGATCCGCAAAATGCGTGCTTCTCAAGAGAGCTACGACCAAAAAGTGAAGTCTCTTCAACTTGGACACGGAACACAAAGTTCGAGAGGAGCAATGGAGCAATGGAACAACAGCGGACTGTTCTTGGACTGGAAGGACCGAACACTTGTCAAAATGTAACATTGAGGTTAGGAAAGGACGAAGACGTAAACAATTCTCAGATTAAGGGGCCTCAACTACAAAATGAGATAATAGGTGGAGAGTTGCGTATAAACCATAGAGAAAATCTTCAGGTAGTTAAACTAGAAATATGTCTACCCTTGTTTAGTGTTTACGATTATTGCAGGGTCATGGCAGTTCCTACAAGGTTTTCAAATTAAACCCGTAACACGCGGGCGCGGTGATGATTTCCCGAATTCTCCTGAGATTTTTGTAATTTTCACTTTGAACACAACCTCTCTTCAGAAGCACAGCATAAAAATAACCTGTCGGGCACAGCCAATATATACGTTACTTCATTGGCATCACACATAATCATCGAGATGCGATCTTGCTACTTAACCAACTTTCTTTTCAGAGATAAAAACTACAGACTAGGACCACTCGGTCTCATAAAACACATGCAACCAATAATGTGTGTAGCTTAGTTGAGTGATTACTCCAAAGATGGTCGTTCACAACGATCCTAGTGAGCAAACCTGGAACGACTATTTGCGCCCTAAAAACTACCTAGTTTGCAAGATGATATGTTATAGGTTTTTTTGACGTTTTATAGGTTTTTTGTATGATACCCGTGCTGTTTAGTTATTCGTAATCTAAGGGCAAGAAAGAATTTAATTTGCTGTCAGTTACCTTTGTGACAATCTTAGAATAGTGAAAATTAATTTATTAATTCGGATTTTACTTCCCAATTGGCTTATGCACTAGCCGAAAGAGTGGAAATGATTCTAATTTATTGTGCCCAAAATCAATGAACTATGTTTTGGACCTTGTTACTAAACTTACTCAAACTGGATCTGTTGCAAATAAAAAACGTGATCATCGGAGAGTTTTGGATGAAGCCGCTCAATTTGAAGTTTTGGGTCACTTTGGAATAACGCAAAATTGTTGCTGCGACTATTTCATTAGGCTCTGTACACACAGTTAATAAACTCTATAAATTTAATCCACTCAAAATGAAAATATTGCAATAATTAACTGAAGATGATTTCGATAGATAGGTTTCGAGTTGAGCTTTGTGCACAAATGACTGCAGCGATTAATGATAAATAATACCATTCATGTGAAGAATATCTGCTTCATTGACGAATGCACATTTTGTCTAGATGGATTTGTTAATAAGCATAACTGCAGCTATTGGAGCAATGAAAGTCCTCATGCCTTTGTAGAAGGGCATACACAGAACCCCCAAGATATTAATGTATGGGCAGGCATTTAAGTGATTAGGCCATTGTTTATTAATGGGAATTTGAATGAAGACATTTATTTGGATATGTTGGAAAATACCATCAATCCGCTTATCACTGGAACCAGTGAAGGCCAAGTCGAAGAGAATGGAAATCCTATACTTGGTGAGGATGAAACATATTTCCAGGAAGACGGCGCTCCTCCTCACTATGTTCTATCGGTTCGGCAATGGCTAGACGACGAGTTTCCAGATAAGTGGCTAGTGCGAAGAGGGCCTGTAGAATGGCCTGCTAGATCTCCTGAGTTGACTTTTTTCTATGGGGCCATTTGAAATCTATTGTGTTTACTCCACAACCTGAAGGTTTGGATGAACTTCGTCAATGCATCATCGACGGCTGCCATGATATGCCAGAACATGTTTCTGAAAACGTCCGTCAGAAATTTGAACATCGCCTATATCATTTTTTGCCCAATAACCAGCATCATTCTGTACGCTTATTGAAATAAAAAGTGACATTTTTATGAGTTTTTGTTTTCAATCTGTCTTCTATCTGTTTTTGTTATCTATCT